TTGTCACCATTCGATAGAGAATTAAATTCTGCATCCAGCACAACCAAGTAGGGGACCAGCACAGACGTAGGGGCGAATCGGCACAGGAAATACGCGAATCTGGTGCTAACATTACCTACGTTTTTTTTACTCACATCATTCTCTTTTCTTACACACGTGTACGTACACAAATATGCATCATACTTGTTATATTACATAAAATCCCTCTGTAACACACTTCACTGCGTCTCATAGTAATCACAATATTCCGTTCACTCAAAAACTAAAATGGAAAATGGTCCTGGTCTACCATTCTGACATATACTACCTCGATAAAGATCTTTCAATCTTTCGAGCTCTGAATTGTTTCTTAGAGAGAGACTAGTTTTCTTAAGTTCGAAAAGATAAAGATCAGAAATTGCGATATATTTCGACAAAAAATTTTCTGGCGAAAGTTCCCTGGCCAACAATTATTCGATGAGCATTTCTTCAATGAAAAGAAATTGAGTCGACTATGTTTCGATAAAAATTTTTGCGCTCAATAGTTTTCAACATTCTTCATTTCGACGATTTTTTCCAAGAAAGATTTTCGATAAGTAAGAATCTTATTTAGCTACCTTGCATTTCTTAACGACTATTGAAATTTTCTAATTTGGTTGATTCCCACGTTGGTTTTTCGGTGAATCTAGGTACAATTATCAACGTTCAATATACTTCTGCTATTGTAAACGATCTATTATTTTCGTGACTACTGGACATGGTTTGATTGGAAAATCAAAGATTTCGAGATACAGTAAAAAAATCGCTAAAACATAAAAATGACAGATCATTTAACATGGGTACAATTGTGTTGAACGTTGAGAACTGTCTCTAAGTTTATCCTAAGACAATGTAAGGATCAGCAAAATTATGAAGTTTCAATACTCGTTAAGGATTACGAGATTAATATGGTGTGACTTCAAAAGCAATTCAGCATCTGGAGTTCTTTTGTTATAAGTATCTCATTACTTTTAATGATGGCATTCTTTTGCTTCCCATTCGAGAAAATTTGAAAAGCTTTGAACAATACAAAGGATAGGCCGAAAAGCTGAGATAAACGTTTCTTTTAATGACACTTTTTTATGATCCATGGAAAAGAGTAAATCACCATGCTTCTCCTAGACTATAATTTTTATAGTACATCGATCAAATGTTTTCCAAAAATAGTTGACAAGTGCAGCAGTACACAAAATAGAATCGAGTGAATAAAAAATACACACACGATATATTATCTTCCTTTCTTTATTTAATGCATAGTGATATATTGACAGAAAAAAAAACGTTGGTGGTATCAAATTAATAATATATTGTCCGATAGACTGCAAAACTGATGTATTCGTTCATCTGATGTATTAATAGTGCTAATCAAACTATGGGCAACCGAAAATCACGACCGAAACGTACTCAGCCGCTTGGTAAAGTTTCTCGACTAAAAAGCACTCCACCGTCCGTGCAAGTTAAGGCAACTAGTACTCTTAAAAGTTCACGTAACTTTGATCGTTGTCCAGAAAATCCAAATGAATTTGCACATAATTTAAATAGTCCATTACCGATGAGAACAGTCAACGAGCCAGTAATACTTGTCTGGCTTGATTCACGTATAGATGACACTGTTTTTGATACGCGTCTCACAAAACATATGCTTGGGACATTGATTGCTAATGATTCTCTTCATTCATTCACGAATACAACCGATTGCCTCGAGTTTATGACGCAACGACAAGATACAATCGAAACAATATTTTTAATTATGTCTGGGGAGTGTTCTCGCGAATTGCTCAGTAAACTTGATCACCGCACATACAATATAATCGCTTCAATGTTCATCTTTTGCTTAGACGAGCATAGATACGAGTCGATATTGAATGACCATAAGAAACTAGTTGGAATTTACAAGGAGCAAACCAAATTACTCGAAGCGATTCGTCGACAAGTACAGTTGCTAGAACGGTTCAATCTTCTCTCCAAATTCTACAATGATTCTCAGAAGACGGCACGTAATATTGTGAAAGATGAAGACTCCATAGAATTTCTCTGGTTTCGTATGTTCAAAGAAACGCTTTTACGCTTTCCACAAACAGAAAATGCTAAAAAAAGTATGATTGATCGATGTCGGCTTTTGTATCGATTTGATCCGACTGCGCTTGAACAAATCAATGAGTTTGAAAAGGGATATGTGTCGAACAATGCATTACATTGGTATACACGCGATTCATTTCTCTATCGCATGATTAATAAAGCCATGCGCACAGAAGATACTGACGAAATATTTATGTTGCGATATTTTATTATCGATTTATGTAAAGCTCTGAAGAAAACGAAGTTAACGACTGTAACGACCCACGACTTGTTATACTACCGTGGATATAAGTTACCATCTGACAAAGTCGAAGAATTTCAATGGAATGAGGGTAATCTTGTTTCAATTAATGCTTTTTGCTCGGCCACACGTCGACGTGATATTGCTGAGATATACGCAGGCGTTGGTACTTCGACGGACGAAATCGATGATGTATCCGTAGTCTTCGAAATTGAAATTTACTCGCGTAGCAGTCAAGAAGCTGTATTCGCTGATTTACATGGTATCAGTGCTTTTCCAGATGAAGAAGAAGTTTTATTCGATTTTGCTACCGTGTTTCGAGTGAAAAAGGTAACCTTTGATGAACAACAAAAGTGTTTATCAATCAGATTGCTCGTTGATGACCAATGGAAAACAAGTGTTGATCCGTTTTACTCACACTTTTCCAACTTTCAAAGTCAGCTTCCGTGTGAAATAGTCTATATCATCAACTTGGTCAATGCTGGTGAATACAAAAAAGCATATAGTTACTCTTTGATTCTAATGAAGATGAATGACAATCAAATATTTATAACAATGATGCAACCTTTTCTTCACTCTTTGGTTTGTTTGGAAAACGGCGACAACAGAGCTATCGAATACATGTCTGAGAGTCATCGAATAATATCTTGCATGACTACGATTCCAATAACAGACCAATATATACTCCAGAATATATGTCCAGAGCTATTGAATATCAATCTGATGTTGAAGAAGCTCATCACGGGTTATTTCTTGACATATATTGGAAGTGTGCTTTTGAGCTTGGGCGAATGGACCGTTGGGATAGATAATCTTCGGGACGGATGGAAAAATGTACGTCAATCGGTAACTTTCTGCGCTAATAAAGAGTATTCGATGTGGATGGATCGTATAATCGATTGCTTGCAAGCACAAAAAATCTTTGAATATATGAAACTAATAAAGGACTTCTCACGTGTATTTAATTCGCCAGAAACCTCTTTTCTATCATTATTCATGAAACAAGAGCTTCCAGATTATATCAAAACAAATATGCCACACCTATTGAAGCTCTTTGGGTATGATCCATGGATTAATTATCTTTTATGGATACATTCAGGTAATGCTTGGCTTGCCCGATATACACTTGAAGAGGGAAACTACTTGGACGCGTTGGGATATTTGAAAGCCAGTTTAAATGAAGCGATCAACGTTAATGTGGCTCACAGCAACATCCAATGTTATATCCAATTTCTCTTCGCATCCGTGTACCTTCACATGCATCAACATGAGGAATCACTCGAGCACCTCAAACATATTGATGCTATTGTTGACAAGTTAAAATCACATGCTTCTCCAAACATTCGTTCGTGCTGTCTCATTTTATATGGTCTCATCAATCTACTTGATGGAAAGCCTAAAGAGGCGTTTAATTGTGTACTCCGAGCACAAACTGTTCATTTGCAAGCCAATAATTATCTCGATAGGCCGCCAACGCCTCTTACTCTTTGGAATATGTGTCATGTACATAAGCAATACTCACTATCTCGTACACGTCGAATTAGACTTGAACGCTACATGAGCCAGTGTTTCGATATTTTTGAGCTCGATAAGCGCTTTCGTGGTGGCAGCAACGACAATCGTTATAGACGTCTTCTCGCCTATGCCGAGCAAATTCAAAAAGATCGGCAGCAGTCAGTTGAATTCCGACTGTGATATTCGTGAATAACTGTTGCAACGGACACAGTAGATGATGACAATTGTAAGAGCTAACAGTAAACGACCAATCCGTTACGATCCAATAGAGGATTCCTTACCAATCAATACACATAAGGATGTGGGTGTGGATGTGTGAGTGGGTGGGTGTGGATGTGTGGGTGTGGGT